AGATATTTTTTATATTTAAAAAATGATCTAATATTGCCACATATATTGCCTATTACACCCTATAATTGAAATAGTTGGCTTATTATTTTAAATAATAACTTATTTTACAATATTATAGTTGTTTTGATGCTCTATTTGTTTATCTAAAAACTGCTGTTTTTGACTAAAATTCTTAATAATATTAATGTTTTAGTTTTCGTAAACATTTTCATTTCAAGAATTTAATTATTAAGAAAAGTTTCCAAATAACTCAAATGTAAAAAATTTTAATTAAATTTATATTAATATTTACTAAGTTTAAAACGATTTAGAAATACCTTAAAATCCGTTCAATATATTTATTTATTTTTACAAATATTTACTCAATCGTTTAAATTGAAGACTTTATAACAAATATATTGGTCGTAACTTTATTAGAGTATATTATTAAAACTTATATATTGTGTATTTGTTAGCACACGCTGTATATGAGAATAAAATTATTTAAACTCAAGATATTATTTTATTAAAACCTTGAGGCAATTTAAACAATGTGTTTCGTTACAGTATAAAAATCAAGATCATTTCAAAGATTATTTTTATTTAAATCTTGTGTGTTATTAATATTATTTGGTGTAAAATATATGCTTCACTAAATTCTACAACTAAAATGGAAATATAAGTAGCATAAAATCATATTTAAAGCAGTAATCTGGGTAGTAACATAAATTAAATTTATCACAACAAAATGTGATCATTTAATAAAAATTGGTTAAACTGATTTGGAATTATTGGAAAAACAATATGATATATATTCAATAGTTCATTGAAAATATATTTATATCAACATAGCATGTATAAATTAAAACAATTTTATTATATCTTAATGTTTAGTAATTATAATTTATGTTTTTTAAAATTCATAAAAACATTAGAATAATGTGATATTTATTGATAGATAAAAGTAAGAATATTTGCAAGTTATGCACTTTAATTAAACTTAGAATAAAATTAGTTAAGAATAACTTAGCATCTAATTGAAAACATTTCGGATACTTTCATGTTAATCACAACTTTCACGACTTTTGTATAATACTTACGATTTGAGTTAAAACAATAAACAACTCTTTGATTTTAAAACTAATTTTATGAGATTTAATCGGCAAATATAACGAGCAATTGATTATTTTGCAGGCATTTGGCCGTTCGGTCCCACTATTTGTAATCTATGGGTGACGTGCGATGTGTTGTGCTGTTCCTCAAGTATTCTCCACATGTGTTTCATATCTGTTGGACGGTATGTATGAAAAGTGCTCAACAATTAGCTATTATTTACACGATTCACGTCTGAATTGAATGCATTCATTGTTGGTTTCGATGATTTAGTTATATCGGTATTAAGAATCCATTGCACGCCAGACAAGCGCCGCTTCTGGTCTCTCGGAGGGCCGTCCTCTTCAAGATTGTGTTGGCCTGGCTTTTGTCGGCTGTCATCACTTCGCCCCTCACTATCATGGGTTAGACACCGCATATCACTTACCATTTCTTAATTATTTAATATCAGATTACATACTATTATTTCATTCATTGATTCTCCACAAAACACAACACCCGATAACATTGCGCCATATATTAAGCCTCAAATGGATTACAATTATAATAAATTATATAATAATTGCGTTCATTAGCGCTCAACAAATCACAAATTTCTTATTTCTAACGACTCATTAAAATTGAATCAAATATTTTAATGATTATTTTGTAACATAAATATTGTTAGTGACAGGAATTTAGTTTCACTTTAAACATTATACAGAATATTATTTTATTAACTTTCAACACAAACTAACAGAATATTCTAATAGTATTGCATTTTATTAATTAACAAATAATGTTTAGAAAACAGTAATGTTATGATAAAACCGTTTTTATAGTGATTACACAATCATTTCCACGCCTTTATCTCTCTCTCTCTCTCTCTTTCTCTCTCTCTCTCAATTTTTCCATTACTGTTTTTTGTCTTTAGCTATTTTTAGTGCAAATGAAGACAACAATTATATTTCAATTATAACTGACTTTTCAGACACTTGTTTGTTGTATAGTGTCTTCAAGTGTCTAATTGTCGGTTCAGCTGTCTTTCAAACGTCAGACAAAGTACTGTATATATTGTGATATAATTAGTGATTAACGACAAAATATAATTTTTTATAATCAAATAACAAATGCGTTAAAATTTAGTCAATACAGTAGTTTTGGTTTTATACTAAAATTAGAAAGTATTTTGATTTTAACATAAATTCTTTGACACATATTGTATTGTAATTGAAATTATAACAAAATATTAGAGTAAATTCACAGTTAATCGCAAAAATTGTTTCAATGCCACTAAAATTATAGTAAAATTAAATATTTGACCGTAATTTGAGATATACTTTATATTTATTAAAGAAATAAAAATTATTTCGCAAACTCTGCGGCAAATATTTACACAAAATCAATGTTTACGAAATATTTTGGCAATTTTAGTGCTTACGAAGCAAATCAGTGATCATTTTCACCAAAACCTTATATTATTTATACTATTATTTGTCGTGTCCTGTGTTTTGTGGCCAAAGAGTGGCACAGTTTGGCGAATATAACTACAAACTCACGACATTTGCACAAAACATCTGTTTTGAGTACTAATTCTGTCAAATAATTTGATAAAACTTTGTATTCTCTGATTCTAGTCATGCAAACCAAATGACCTCCACTTTAATTCCGATCGATTCCGACCACAATATCTAACACTCCCACTAATTATGACCATATATTACATTTCACAACATTTATCAACATTTTCTTCACAGCTTTAATATCATTTCTTTTAATATTTATTACAATTGTCTTTTCATTCAATTGACAAAATATAACAAAAAATCAATTATTCTTTTATTATATGTTATAATTTCATTCAATTGAATAATTTATTTGGATTTTTAATAATCCTCTCTAATCTTATGTAAGAATTGCTATATTTATGATAAATAGACGACAGTATATAAGAATAGGGATAAGAATTTAATAATAAATGGATGTATTATAGAAATAAATCAAACTTTTAAAATATTACCCGTTTTTATAAATGACATTGATATAAAATTCTAAGAAATACTGTATTGAGTTTTAAAAATCCATATTTTAATCCATTGGCTATTCTGCACACAAGAATAAAAATCAAGTGTAAAAACAATGTTTGCATTCAATACTTAATTGAAAGCAAAAAAAATGAAATTTGAAGTAAAAATCAATTTTAAATAATAGCTGAAAACAAAAATCGATTTCCAATTTAAGTAGTTTTCAAAGTATACATAATCTTTAAAAATAGACGCCAAGAATACAACCATTGGAATCAAAATTAGATTTATAAATATTCATCATTTGATTGATTAATATATTCATTATTGAGAAAATGAACTCAATTTTGAACATAATTTTGCTTTTGTTGTAAATTATATTAAGGAAAAATTCATTTGAATGTAAAAAGTATTAATGATTTCCTTTTGCTCTAAATCCACAAATCTATGCAATATTTTGCATTCATTCAGCCATTAGTTGAAAAACTTTAACTTAATATGCAATGAGATGTGGGATATAATATATTTCTCTGTTTTACAACGAAACTTACTTTAAATAAATAGATATTCTTCTAATGAATAATAAGTTTTTACACTTTTGATGAAAATAAATGAATATACATATCATTGAAATAATGATATTCTTATGACTAGTAATAATCTATAAAAATACTTACAGTAAGTGACAGGAAATTCATGACTTATTTTTCAACAGTACAGTAGAGTAATTACATTTCATATAAAACAAACAATTTAAATTAAAACCCAAAATTAAATTAAATTTAATGCTTAATATATTTTCACAGCACTATTCGATACCAGTAATATACAACCGGAACCACTGGTCTGTGCCATATCTAGTCGTCCTTTTCAGATATTGGGTCAGTATTATTGTCAAAAGTGCTTCATTTGCAGAAACCTTTTGCCAAATAATTGGTTAATATTTTACTTTTAGTGTCTCTTTTGTGTTGCATTTCATTAGTTCATCATTTAATTAATCAAATAAAGCGATTCTTGTATTTTATACTATAATCTAAACACTAATGAATAATCGATTTTACAATTACTTGACAATTGTTGGGATTTTTTTGGTACCGTTTAGGCTCATTGAGTGCCTTCTTCGTCCCAATGGTTGTTATGTTGTCCTCATATGTACTCACAGTTAGACTATTGAGAAGAAAAGCCAAATTCTATGAGGACTCGACTCATAACTACTCGACGACCCAAACGGACAAAGAATCGTCAGAATTCAATAAATTCAAGAGAACCACTCCATCATCGGGTCAGTCCATATCAGTCCATAGCTATCACTATTCTTATCACTAAATCATAACCCAAAACCAAATACAGTATATCCTTATTACATAATCTTCTTATTTGTCATTTCTGTTTTATGTGAGACAATGTAATGAATCTAAACACCCGATTCTTCCCACACATTTACACCACGTTTAATCAAATTAGTATTGAGTTGTACTTTACTATTTGCCTCGAGAAAAATGAAAGAGTAAATAAACGCGAAGACTATTTAAAATCTTAATTATCCTCAAAATAGTGTATTATTTTTAGATTCTTGTGAAAAATCATAAATTTAAATGTTCTGTCAATGAATTGAAGGAATAGTAAATAATAAAATATTATTTTGTTGTAGTTTGTGATGAAATTTTTGTTATTGCTTTTCTTGCGCTTTAGATAGACGTATAGAAATTCTTAACAAAAAAATATATTGTGTAAAATTCAATCGTTTTTTGTATTAAAAATCAAGAATTTAGTGTTAAAGCTATCAATCACCAAAAAATGCTGACTTGTATTTGATAGAGTAATGGGAACTCATGTCTAAAAGTCATTCGTCTCTTTTTTTAAACATCTTTTTCAATATATAATACATTTTTTAGTTTCATTTAATTTTCTTCCAAAAGACTATACAATATATACGATAAGCAGAACATTGGGAACATTAGTCTAACATCACATACATTACGGGTCATTAAATCATTTGATCCAAACACAGAAATGACAATACATTTGTTGCTTTGAATTCTCAATTACTTTCAAATTCTGTATATTCTTTGCCCACAATATATGGCTTCATATAACGTGTAGTCGACTAATGCTCTAAAATTTAATTTCCAGTCAAAGATTATTATTTAGCGAACCGAACCGTAAGCTCGAGCTCTTCCTCATCAGGAAATAGCGCTACTTCTGGTAATTTACAATTAATGGTCAATCAGTGCTCGACATCACAGTATGAAATGAGTTGCACTGACTCTCACTTACGGTAATTAAGTCTGCGATTGTCTCACATCAGAGAGGTATTAATGGAAACGTGTTTTGCATAACAGACCCATCAGTCCATCACATAATAATCAATCGACCAAACGATGGGACTCGACGTCCATTAGGAGTGAACCAAATCATTGCACAACAACTAAGTCGAGCAGTCGGAAGACAACACAGCCATTGATGTTGAGGACACTGGGCTCGAGTCTTCAGGTGCGTAACGAACAAAAGGCCACCAAAGTGTTAGGTCTGGTATTCTTCGCGTTTGTCATATGTTGGGCGCCGTTCTTCTCATTGAACTTTATGTTCGGAATCCTTCCCTCCCATGTGTTGGAGTCTAACATTCCCGATGAAGTGACCACTACTTTCTTATGGCTCGGTATATATGCTTTCATGCAATTCATTCATACCCTCATTATTAATATACTCTTCATATTCTCTATAACCATAGGCTATATCTCAAGTATCATAAATCCCGTGAGTATTAATCGATTTCATTGTATTTTTCAAATTAATTCATTGTGTAATTCCTATCAAATTATAGATTATTTACACAATTTTTAATCGCAATTTTCGTCGGGCTTTCAAACGAATACTTTTGTGCCAAATCTGTGCAAACGATTCGCTTCCCAATAGACGCTATAGTCAGACGGCATCTCAAATGCGAGACAATACCCATCATAAGCGCTGTTCGGCGTCTCCGGCGCACCAGAACTCCAGATTATGTGATATAAACACTTCATTCAATGACAACAGTGACACCAATGACAGCAATAACCATAGGAGTCATAACCATAACTATCACAACCATAATAAACCCGTGTCCTGGAAGTTCAACACAACGTTCAACGCCCGCAACAACGGCTCAAAAGCGACCCAATCCTACAATTTAGACCGTAATATCGAGTGTTCGCTATAATTCATTAGTAAAACAACATCTCAATACAAATCACAATTTTTATTGTCAAACAATGAAATCAAATCACAATTTCTATGAAACCATTGATACGAAAGAAAAATAGACTAAAAAAATATGATCAGAAATGAGGCCTCGAAAAGCCATTTACAAGAGCATCGAAAGCCAGGCCAGGATTAGTGTGAGGCCACCAAAAGGGGTATATCTGATCACTTCCTTGTTCTGAGTCAATGAGTATGTATAACACGTGCCACAGAAGACGCACATTCCGATTGTCATCAAAGTTCCCACCTATAAGTCAATTCAAATTAAATTATTAACAAATTAATACTCGTATTTTGTATTTCTATATCTCATTAATTTATTGTCATTATTATAGTCGTTATTATAATTGTGAAAATCATTCATAAAAACCAAACATTTTATATAATTATTACTTTTTTAGGAATCAATTGTTTTTTGAAACCAAATAAATGTTTATTTTATATTAAAATACAATTATTTATTAAACTCCCAATAATTATACGATGAATGAAATGTAATCTCTTCAGTGAATTATAAGTTAATTGTTTAAGTATTTAAAGTTTATAACTATTAAAATTGTTTCAAACGATTAATATTTGTCTAAATTATCAAATAATTTCAGACTTTAATGAAAATTATTGATCATTAAAATAAAAAGTAATTTACTTTTTAAAACACTAATTAAATAAGTAGTCAAACAATACATACAATAAGTGGTCTTCGGGTCAACGGAACCGCTAGTAATGCCAACGAATGAAAGAAATGGTATTTATTTGCCGTCTCGTAAGCCGTCTTATACTCGTCAGCCATATCTGGTTTCAATCCTGTCATCAGATTATCATATATTTAATGCTTAATTTCATCGACCGTTCAGTTTGTCATCAATTGGACCAATACTTGGCTTAACAATGGGTTCTTAAGCTACCATTTAATACAATTGTCACATTCATTGACTCAATTCATATGTGTATTAATGGGCAAAGTGTTGGATCAAGTGATGGCAAACAACTGATGGCAATGATATATACCATGTGCTCCATAGGCACCCATCGCGACAGCACTGGCGCCGAAGATGGCGGCCATCCGTGTCCAGTGGGACGCCTGAAGAAGCGCTAACACCTCTCTTCTTGTGGCCATTTCTGATAACCTCATCGCTCGAGTGGTCGACACCAATGGTTTGCTCAACGGATCCGTTGCGGTCTTTTGGGGCCAAATACCGGCAATTGTCTTGACACCATTCCAGACACCATTGGATGTATTCATCAACACATCAGTAATACTCTTGATTTGATCCATCAATTGATAATCACTTCAAAACACTCACAAATGGACTGTATTTTCAAATCTCACTTTTAATTGTCTCAATGTTTACAATGTTTTCATTTATATTAACCATAAATTACGGCAAACTTTTGTCACTTGTTTTACACAACAAACTGAACAACAATTTGTATACGAAATGGACGTAATCTATGGACACATGGCTTAACATTGCGTTCAAAATACGGTATTTTAAAAACTTATTGTTTTTGATTCAATTCAAGACATGATTTAAATGTGATTTGAATTAATTGTCATTTAATTGTTATATAAAGTGATTATTGATATAAATATTGTAATTGTTTTAATGAAATGAATGCTTAATATAAACACAAAAAATGCCCAAAAAGTGTGCGAAAAATACTTCAAAAAGTAGTGGCAATCAAAAGGCGAACAAATACTTCAAATCAGATGAAAGCGATGGCAATGAAGACAAAAAGGCGGAGACAATGATTGGTTTGCGTCGATCTTCGCGGACATCGGTGTCAACGCTCGCAAACACATCCAAAAGCAAATATTTTGATGACTTGGAGGACGAAGAGATGGTTGGAAGTGATGGCGATCATGAAAACGATACCGAGTTTAAGCCCAAAACCAAACGTAAAGCTAATAAAGCGGTTAATAAGAAACCAATTGTCAAATCAGTTGATCCACACGTTGACAGCTCTTCTTCGGATGGCGATGACTGGGAAGAGGTAAAGGATAACGCAATGGACGATCTCGAAGACTATAATCCTGTTATCCCTTCAGAAGGCGTTGAGATTACTGTCAATAAAGAAGTTTTAAAGCAGAAGAAGAAAAAGGGATTTGATGTCAACGATTACATCCGTCAGCGAATCAATCGCTTTAAACGTGATTTACAATCAGATAAACACAAGACTTCTTTACTTTTGCTGATCTCAAGAGCTTTTTACTTAAATAATTCAATAAATGATGAGACGGTTAAAGCGATTGCTCTCTCCGTTACAATCAATGAGTTTAAAGCACCGAAAAGACTGACCATTAAGTTCTTGAATGAATTCATCGATTGGTTTAAAGATAATGTTGTATTAAAACCAATAGAAAGTGAATCAAACGAAACAATGATTGAAACTCTTTGTCGGTGTCTTGAGGAGAGAACCGCACGTAATAGTAATGAATTGAATATGACTTTTATTTCTCTGATGAGAAGTTTGCGTCCAAATTATATAATAAGACTGTGTTATGCATTAAATCCGATTGATATTAAAGCCGTTGATCTAATTCTGACTGATAAGCAGAATGAAGTCAAGAGTAAGTCCAACAATAAGCCAAAGGTTACCACTGATGAAGAGAAAGTGCCAAAGAAATCAAAGCCAAAAAAGCCTAAAATTGTTGTTATATCCGATTCTGAATCTAATGAAGGCATTGTCACAACAGAACGGCTTGAACTCTGGGCCGAAGTGTATGTCGAGACCGACAAGAAATGGATTTCATTGGAATTGTCCAATGGTTTGATTGATAAACCCATGGAAATGGCATTGAAATCGTTTCCTCAGCTCTCATATGTGATTGCATTGGATTCTGAGGGATATATACGAGAAGTGACCCAAAGATATTCAGACGAATGGATGAGCGTTGCGATGAAAAATCGTCGAACGGATCAGAACTGGTGGACACAAACGCTTAAACCTTTTGAACGTCAAGTTTTAAATAACGCTGAAAAGGCCGAAGACATTGAATTTGAGCAGAAGATGGCGTCGACACCGCTTCCCACCAAAGTTGGCGATTACAAGAATCATCCGCTTTATGTCCTTA